GCTACCAGTTTATTACTGCGCTTAAATTCAAAATAAGCAAAGTATTAAGAAACAGGAAAATTTCGTTAGAAACAAAGTAAATAATACTAAACTCTTATGTAATATTAGTCTTTCTATGTGGCAGTGAATGCCGGTCCAATGAAGAAGAGATTTGACGCAACAAAAATGTGGTTCTACAGAAGGATGATGAGGATACTATAAAATGAACATGTAAGCAACAACAAAGTTTTAGTGAAAATGGAAACAAAAAGGACACTTATACTTAGCTTCAGACACAGTTGAAATTTCTAGGTTACATAATGAGGAAAGAGAGCTTAGAGAATATAAGACTCATAGGATATATTGAAATCAAAATAGACGGAGAAAAAAAGTGCATAACTTCGAAAACGAGCTTGTGTAAATTGATTGGAAAACAGGGATTAGTAGAGATAGCAAAAAGACAAACATTATTATGAGCTACAAAAGACAGGAAATTGTGCAGGGCCATGATCGCCCACGTCCTGAAGGGACACGATACATTGAAGAAGAAGAAGAACTGTCAAGGAAATCTGTATTACTGAACAGGATATTTATTGTGTCGGAGTTACCTCCTCCTAAAATTATGAAACCGCTACTTGGAGGCGCTCTCGAGTGCTATATATACTCAGCAAGATTTTGTCTCTGTCTCTTCTCATTTTCAGCGGACGCTACAAGAATGTAAAGCTCTCGCAGAAGAAAGCGTCCCATCTTGTGGGACACGCATGAACATTATACGCACAAACACACACACACACACGCACGCACACGCACACACACACACACACTCTTAAACCTAAAACATTAACCATGTGTATATAGTACCCAGCGCAAATTTTCCTATTTTCAATTACAATTTTCGGTACCTGATTTTCTTACCTAAATAATGTTTTTCAGTTCCTATTAATGTTAACTCAAAGTACAAAATTTAAAGTGCGTGCATGTAAAATATTTCAAATAAAGATTTATATTTAATTTTTTTTTTTTTTTTTAATATTTTCAAGATCGGGTATGATATACCCATAGTTAGTAGTGGTGTAACTTTAATTAATGGTTAGTGTTCTAGGGTTAATAAGCACTAAACCAAATATAAACATACTTCTTGATTATTTTTTTTTTGTTTTTTTTTGTTTTTTTAGATATCTTCTTTCCTAAAAGAAATGCTTCTTTCTCAAGCCAAAATGTGTTTGCATGATTATTAAAATTTCTTTTTTAAATTAAGGAATATCCTTAACTCATGGTTCATTTCTTAAAAACAACAACAACAATAATAAAATTATTTCCTTTTTACTTTAAAACTTTCCAAACTTAGTGTCTTCCATACAATCCCTCCCTATGATCTATAGTGAAAAAAGCTAGTAAAATCTGACGTTCTTGGCAAAACAACTCTACTTTGAACATTGTGGACTGGCGCTACAGAATCGCAAACAAAGAATTGTACCAAATAACGGAAATGTAATCCATTCAGGACTTTCAACAATGGTAACAACTAAAATGAATAGCACATGTAACTCGAAGAAAAAATAAAAATAAAACGTAATCAAGATGTTGACGTTCCACGTTACTTCAAACAAAAGGTTAGGAAGGAAATTCCATCAATACTGGAAAGATCTATAATACTTAATGGGCTTGGGAAACCTATTTTCCTGGAAAATTGTTTTAATAGAAAGTTTTTATAAATTTTAACCGACAGTAAATCAAACTGTTTGGTCAATGGATGCCAAATGAAGCCTGTATGGAAAAGGCTATTCTTAACATTACCATCGTTTGTTTAGTTAAAATTGTTCAATTTTTTTTATTTTTTTATTTTACAAGTGTCAAAAGTAGAAGCATGTTTTTATTTTCATTTTTCTGGTGTAATCTAAAAAGTTTCTGGGAAAAGAAAAGACCAATGTCTAAGGAAATAATGTCAAATATTTCCTAAAATATATTTTGAAAATATATTCCGGCGCGTTGTGTCTGAGGAGGTGTTGGTTGGAAAACTTGGATTTTATCTTTCAGCTGGAACGAAGCGTTTTATCAGCGAGATTATCTCATACAGAATAAAAATAAAGTGAAATGTAAAGAAAGTGGACATATAATGCAAAAGTTAAAAATATTTGTAAATATTAAAAAAATGTTAACAATCCACACCACTTCAAATAAAAGGTTAGGAAGGAAACCCCCATCAATTTAGATAACAACTATTGGACCTGAGAAACATGTTTTTTGAAAATGTGATAATGTTCTCGAATTCAAAATGAACACATAACGTTATTTTTTCTCAATATTTGTCTCCCATTATTCAGTTTTTTTCTCTATAAAATTTCTACATTTGCCTTGATAAGCCAAATGTAGGAATGGAAATGGAAACCTCAAAGAATCTGAATAAAAGATTATATGAACACAAAAGGAACATTTTGCATCACAATACGTCAAATATGTTAGTTGCCTACCTTAACGAGACTGACCACAATTTTGACATAAAAACCATTACTCTGATCAGAGAAGAAAAACAATTCACTACGACGAAAATGTCTAAAGACTGCCTTAATCGCAAGATCATCTACAGTGAATCTGCACCCTGGTTCTTACAATATTTCACCATTCCTGGCAGAACTTCTAGATTACAGTGTAGGTTAGCTACTAACAAAAGAGATGGAGAGAAAAAGAATCTAAATAAAATCGGCTAAATTGAAAAATTTAAAAAACTTTAAATTCCCAGCATCCCTCGTTCGTGAGCATATGTAATCACACCAACATAAAAAAATTAGTCCGATGACGAAACGCATTACAAGAAAACTTTTTCCACTATCATACATTTTCCGCAATATTTTTATATATAAAAACCATATATCGTTATCTATCTCATATATATATATATATATATATATATATATATATATATATATATATATATATATGCATGTTTCATTAGATAATATAGACAAGTTTGTCTATTTATTTTAAGTAAGTTCCTTTCATTTAAATGATAACTCTAACATTTTTAGACATTTAAAACAACATGCCTGCCCGCGTACTCAAATCCTTGTTGACAACACAACTATACTTAAACATGAAAACAATAAACAAAAACTAAAAATTCTTGAATCTATATATATATATATATATATATATATAACAGTTGAAACCTAACCTGAACAAAATAAACTATGAAATCTCCACAAATATTCTTAAATGCTTATAATTTATAACAGAAGCCATTGGTTTATACCAACGGCTTGCCATACTTAATACTTCTCGTTTTTCACTCTCGCGTGGTCATGTGTGACGTCACGAGCTGCGACGCGATTTTTATATACGAGTTTGTCGTTACTTTGAAATTTTTCAAGCAGCAAGGGTGGACTATCATTGTGGTTTCGTCTGTGTGTTGTTTGATTTATTGAAATTGTCATCTTTGATAATGGCTTATGTAGGCCCAAAGCTTAGATTGGATTTAAACACATATCAGTATGGTGTTTTCCTTTCGTCTTTCAACTATAATGTGATTAAGCTTATCAGACAATATGAAAGGATCTTACTTAAAATAAACAGACAAAACTTGTCTATATAATTTAATGAAACATGCATCAATGAAAAATTGCTGCCTAAACACACACACACACACACACACACATATATATATATATATATATATATATATATATATATATATATATATATATATATATATATATAATGTATTCTGTCAGTCGGAAGATTCATTAGCCTATATTTTAAAGGAAATTGGGACAGACATCCTCGCATTGTTTTTGTTTATATTATATTCAACTTACATGTCCTTGTCTCTGTCGCTGTTATTGCTGATATGAAACGTGCAGCTGGTCGACTAACGACAAAATTGACCAACCAGGAACGACAGAAGAATGGAACAAACGCAATATAATTGCAAGAAAGTGATACACACTAACCTCCTCAGACTGAGGAGGGATGGAGAATCTTGAGAAATATTTACAATCGACTTTTATACAATCAGAAAAAAAATCTGTTGCTTCAATATGTTTCTTCATCTTCACCAAAATTATATCAATGCTTTTTAAGAGTGTTTTTTTTTAATTTCCTTTCTAAGAGTGTTTTTTTTTAATTCTACGTCCACTCAGGATTCAATTTTTTATTATCTATGACTTGTTTTCTATATTAAAGTTTTCCTAAGTCTTAATGAGCACTTGCTATAAAGAAGCACGGTGGAGTAATGGATAGCGGCTCAGCTTCAAGAATCGGGGAGCCGAGTTCGAATTCTAGTCGAAGATATTACATTCTTTTACGTGCTAATACCTTTGGAAAGGTAGACTAGAGATCAGGTTATATAGCCTTAGATGGCAACTAGTCTGGCAACCTACTGCGGAAAAAATATGCCTTGTCTGTCATATATCACGCATGGCACATAACTGATAAAGAGTTACAGGCAAAAGAGTAATGGTGAAGAAGCTGTGTGATATGAATAAAACAGGAGGTGATATAAAGTAAAGATTTTTTTTAATCATTTCACCCCAAGCAAGCACTAGGACGCAGTCGGGGGTGATTACAGAGAGTGAAAGAGAATAAGAAAATTTTAGCGATGAGATGTGAAGAAAAGGAAAATAAAGGAACAGGATTCAAGAAGACAGACGATGGCGAATTTTTTACAGATTGTTGGTGGCAGGGACGAAAGAAAGCAGAAGGGAGTTCCACAGATGAGAAGTGCGAGAAAACAAACTGTTAGAATAGAAATGATAGATTTATTCGTTTTCTACGGCTTATCAACCCTTTGCAGGTTATTTAATACCAGAAAATGTTTTTAGTTTGTATTTTTTTTTTAGATAATGATGATTTAGTGATACAAGTCTTACTAATTTAACACATAGTTGGAGGAGAAGAGGTGGATTTATACATTTCTCAAGGGTATTTGCGCATAAGCGGATAGTACTGACCCAACGGGATTGGAACTCGGCTCTCAGATTAACAATTCCAATTAATTATCCATTACACCACCCACACATCCAAGGTTACAACACTTGGTATTCCCAAACGGTTACCCAACTAGGTACTGACCAGACTCAATGTTGCTTAACTACTGTGATCGCACGAAAACCGGTGTTTCAACGTGATATGGCCGTAAAACTGTTAGAATAAAAGAGACGGTTGCATCTATCTAGTTCAGCAGTAAAAATGGTAAGACTTAACTGCCAATCTAATAGCACGCTTAAATTTATACAATCAAGGCACTGCGGGAAAAAAGCTCATCAGATTGCTATGAAAATGTAGAAAAAACCAAGGGAAGCCATGTCAAGGCGGTGAGAAAGTGACGTCGAGATTCCACGGCAAGATCGATTAGAAATAGTGAAGTTCTCCGGCAACTCCACGTTTTGAAATTTAGGGTTGTCCTCCAAGACTAGAGAACCTCGTCTACATTATTATTAGAGTTAGATGTCATTACCGCTTTAGGGAATTACTTTTAGGGAATCATAGAGAGGGGGAGGAGGAGGAAACGATGACAGAAGTCTGAACCACTGTAAACACAAACAGTGTATTAAGTTACAGTCCTCTTTTTTTATCTGCCAACTGGACGCTAGTTGGGCTTTCCTATCTATTTTTACTTCCAGCACTCTTGCCCTTTACTACTTTAGAAAACAATGAAACATGTAGACAACCATTTACACCAAATGTAACTAACATTTTAAAAACATTAGCGACTGCATATCGGCTCGGAATACGAAAACCCAGAGACGAGTTCGAATTAGAAAGTCGTGTTCATTACATTCACCATCTAGGTACTGACCAGACTCAATGTTGCTTAACTTCTGTGATCGCACGAAAACCGGTGTTCCAACGTGTCTTAGTCGTAAACGTGTTAGAATATAAGAGACGGTTGCATCTACCTAGTTCAGTAGTAAAATGGGAGATTTGATGCCAATCTAGTAGCAGGCTTAAATTCCTACAATTGAGGCACTGAGGAAAAAAGTTCATCAGAACAATTGCCATGAAAATGGTTGTAGAAAAGTCCAAGGGAAGCTACGTCAAGGTGGTGAGAAAGTGACTGAAATCGAGATTCCAGGTCAGAATCGATTAGAAATAGTGAAGTGCTTCTCCGGTATCTCCACGTTTTGAAATTCAGAGTTGTCCTCCAAGACTAGAGAATCTAGTCTACATTATTATTAGAGTCATATTTCATTTCCGATGTAGGGAACTACTTTTACGGAATCACTTGCGGAGTCCTTCATAACGGGTAGGTCCTTGAAGGTTGTTGTTAATGGCCAATCCTCCGAATCCCATGCAAGCAACACGGGTTTACTGCTTTCCGGTCCAACTAACTGCTTAGCCTTAATGATATACCTCTGAATATATATAAGAGTATATTACGATCTTTTGTGAATATATATGCAGATGATACAACGGTTTATGGATGCACCTCCAAAATTCTAAAAGCTGGTCCTCCGCTGACCTAGCTTTAACTACTCGATAGGGAGGGGGACTGGCTAGCTACAGTCAATACCTACAAAACCAAAAAACAAATCACTGAACAGACCCTCAATGAACAGGCGTTCTCTGAAGGAACCGCCTTGGCTTGAACGCCTATTAGGACATAAGCTCACTGCAGAACCCAAGTGGAACTTGTATATACGAACCATCAGGGTCGGCGCGTCTTACCCGCGAAAACCTCAACCGGGAGCGCTTGGAGGGTTTTGTGGTCTCAGCTATTTTTAATTATTTTTAAACTGATGTTACATTGTCAGTCATCAACTACTAATATACATCGTGTATCTGCATGTCCGGTGAGGTGCGTACTATGCAGGAACCCCCGCCGAGGTCGGAGCCCCGAACCTCCAAAGCTAGTTTTAGCAGCGTTTTTTCTTTTTGTTTGTTTTTTTTTCTACCTAATATATATATATATATATATATATATATATATATACAAATAAGTATATGTATTAAACAACAAAATTTACAATGGACAAAGACATCAACATTTGTGTTTGTGCGTGAACGTAAAGAGTTCGTATTTTGATGAATGTTCGTACGTACGTTTATGTGTGTGTGTTTCATGGCGTTTTCCCACAAGTGGGCAAAACGCAGATCTCTGCGAGGGATCACATCTTTTAAATGTGTCTGAAATGCAAAGTAAAAAGAGAACGAGGCAAGAAATCATCTAATATTTATAGTGTAGGGAGAGTGTGCCCTCGTGAATAATTTGGATAATTAAGGAGGAGTTAACTCCGACACTTGAACAACAGATATGAGAACCCTTTTCGCAAGCAGTAACAATAGATTTGAGAATACAACTGCCAAAATGTAGGCTATAAATATATTCTGAAGAGTTCAACAAGTCCATACAGCGTTGCAAGTCCCCAAGAAAATTTTAAAATTTGACCAATTACAGGAAAATTTGAAGGCAAAATGAAATGGGTAGGAAATATTCTTTGATCCTCATTAGCTTAGGTATGTTCAATACTTTGCTAGAAAAGAGTATACCCTGATGAAAAAGGGCTCTAAACTTAATTAAACATTTGTTTATCGTCTAAATGTTTACGTTCTTATTATTTGGCGAATTATCGAACATACCGACATTAGCTACTTCACGCATTAACTTATGATTCTTTCACTAAAATGGCTTTATTTTCGTTTATAACAACATCAATGTTGTTGATTATTATTATGATTGTAAGCACTTCTGGTCTCACTAGGGAATACTAGGAGTAAAAAGGACCCAACGTCGGTTTGAATAAAAGTCGTTGAGTTTTTACTAAGTTCTATGTTGTCTTAGTGTTGATTCGACTTTCCCGCGTCCAGTCACATATAATTTATTTTTTTCCACGCTAAGCTCATTAGAATAATTTTAATAACAGACAATTATCTATTTTCACAAAAACAATTATCTATTTTGGTGAAAAATTCACTCGTTAAAAATGTTACGTCGGAAACCCCTCTGGTACTAGTGTCCGTGAAGGAGGCTTAAGGAACATATCCGCCACTGATTGGACGTTATCCTGTATTAAATTAATTTCAAATAGTAACTTAATGTCATTTATCTCCAGTACCAATGATCTGTTTTCGACCCCAGATACTAACAAAAAAAAAAAAAACAGGATTTCAAATGCTGATTTTGAAAGTAAATATTTCTCACTTGAAAGATGGCCGCAACATAAACTTTACTAAACCCCATTTAGCTTCGTACAATACAAAGCTAAGCCGAGTAAACACCGGTCTGTCATTTTATAATGAAAGAGTTAAAATGTTTCCTTCATTCACAAACCGTCTCACTGATGGTAGGCAGGAAGAGAGTGGGGAATGTGCCTTTAAAAGGTCAAGTCTATTTGAACTTTGGACTTATTTGCTCAATATCTGAAAATCTGCGCCCCCACTTGCTCTCTCTCTCTCTCTCTCTCTCTCTCCCCTTCTCTCTCACCTTCTTGTTCCCTGTCTATTACCGTTTTTTTCCCGACCGTTCTTTATCAAGTATAAGCAGCTGTTCTGTCGCTCTGGTTGGTATATTCAAGATTTGGAAGAATTCCGAGTTATATTTTTCAACGTAGCCCAAAAATTTCAAGAGATTTTAGTCCATGTGTTCTCCGGGTTGAATACTCGGCTAAAAAGAGAGGGGAAAATACATTCAACAGATTTTATATAACTAAACTAAATTCGTGGGAGGACATAAGTGGGTGTAGTAAATTCTAATGTGTGCCAGTGAAATATCACCCAAGACTTAGCATTAAGACAACTGTTATAATAAATAATTCAGTAGTACTAATAGTAAGTACAATTTTTTACTGGTAATAATTTACTTATAAGTTACCTATTCGGTTGATTCATAAATATTTTACGTTTTTTTTTAATAACTTTATACTTCAAAGAATGAAGTACATCTATATTTTATTTTATTCAATTATAGACTACGGTGGACTGAAAAGTTCACAGGCTCACTATGAAGGAGTGATGCTAGAGCTGTGAAATCTTGCATGCATTAATTTCAATTCTTTTTATCAATTCTTTTCAGGAAAACTAACATCTCGTAGTCCCCATTATTTTCAAAACTCGGTACTACTTATCAGAAAGTTCTATCATTCCTTTTCTTTTTTTTTAATCCTTTACCTCAAGCTAGGCGGGAGTGCCACTAGTATGCAGGGGGTTACATAGAGTGAAAATGAGAGAAAAGACTGGTTGTAAGATTGACGATGCTTTTAAATTTTTGAAGATTGTAGTTATCAGCGAAGCAACGAAGCGGAAGGGAGTTCCACTGTCGAGAAGTGCAAGAAAAGAAACCGTTGCAATAGAAGTGGCAGTTACATTTAACTATCTCAACAGTAAAAACTTTGGACCTAGATGCCAATCTAGTAGCACGCGTACATTTATGTAGTGGAGATACCAAGGAAAAACAGTTCGTCAGAGTAATTGCCATGAAAATATTTGTAGTAAAGGCAGAGGGGAGCCACGTCACGTCTGTGAGAAAGTGACTGAAATCGAGATGCCAAGTCAGGATCGATTACATTGCAGATCCTTCTTAGGATTTTGTCAAAAATCTTGAGATGAATAGCTGCAGCACCAAACCAAATAGGATAACAGTATCCAATGCAAATGGTCGAATGTTAGATTTGCAAGTGAGCAAGATGTATTCTGACGAGAAAAACCTTCTGGCACGATACAATGAACCAACTTTCCTTGCAGTAGATGCAGCTATTGATTCAATGTAGTTGTTCCACTTCAAGTCAGTTGAAACCGTGAGACCAAGGAGTCGCAGTTGGATGCTCTCCTGGAGTTTAGCATTAGCCATGCTGATGGCGAGTAGGAAATTTGTTTTTTACATGTAAAAATAAGTCTTGAATTTAGTCTTCATTGGAAAAGGTTTTTCCCATAAATTCGTGGATGTTCGGGTCGTTTAATATGTGAACTGGACAACCGAGTTCGAATTCCAGTGAAGTTTGTTACATTCACTTACCCGCTTAAAACCTTGAGAAATACATGAATCCATCAACTACCCCCCAGATATGAGTTAATTAGTAGGACTTGTATATGGAACAAAAAGGTAGAGCCACTTACTGGAGTAATACAATAAACCAACCATTTTTCCAATGGATCGTATATATGAGATTCACTTGAGATCTAGGGAGATCTTGACTCTCTAT